GGAAGTACTATTAATTTAAATGATGTGTGGGGAATGATTAAGAAAATGGAAGGTAATAGGAGAGAGTGGAATTATCCAATCCTTTCAGATGGGGATCAGGTGGCTGTATCAAATTTAGAGAAGGTAGAAATGATGGTGAATACACTGAGTAAGGTACATAGTTCTAGTAATTTATCAGAAGAAGAAAGAAGGGGTAGGGAAGAAACAAGGAGTTTATATACTGAAGTTATTCAAAGGAAAGAAAGGTTAGAGGATAAATATAATGTTCCATTTACACTGAGAGAATTAAGAAATGCATTGGATAAGTGTAAGAATTCTTCTCCTGGTAAAGATGAAATGTTGTATTGTATGTTGAGACATTTAAGTGATGAGGGGATTCAGAAGGTTTTAAATATATTTAACAAAGTGTGGGAGGAGGGAATTATTCCTGCAGGGTGGAAGGAGGCGGTTATTGTTCCAATAAGAAAACCAGGAAAAGATGCTAGTAATCCAGCAAATTATAGGCCAATAGCGCTAACTTCTCACTTAGGTAAGTTAATGGAAAGGTTGGTCAATGGAAGGATGATGCACTTTATGGAGGAAAGGGGGTTAATGGCTGGGTATCAGAGTGGTTTTAGAAAGGGGAGAAGTACTATTGATTCAATCATATGTATTGAGGATGAAATAAGAAAAGCTCAGATAAAGAAAGAAACTGTTGTGGCAGTATTTTTAGATGTGGAAAAAGCGTATGATATGTTATGGGTAGAAGGTCTCTTAATTAAAATGCATATGCTAGGAATTGGGGGAAATATGTTTAATTGGGTAATGGACTTTTTAAATGGTAGAACTATACAGGTGAGAATAGGGAAAGAAATATCTAGAAGATGTTTGGTAGAAAATGGGACACCACAAGGTAGTGTTATTAGTCCATTGCTATTCAACATAATGATTAATTATGTTTTTTCTAATGTCCACCCTGAGATTGGGAAGTCACTATTTGCAGATGATGGTAGTCTATGGAAAAGGGGAAAGAATGTGAAGTATATCCTGAAAAAGGTACAGGAGGCTCTAACCCTAGTGGAGGATTGGGGAAGGAAATGGGGTTTTAGATTTTCTATTGAGAAGACTAAGGTTGTGTTTTTTACTAGGAAGAAAATAGATGAAAATTTAAAACTGAAGTTATATGGAAGGAATTTGGAAAGGGTTAAAAGTTTCTTGGTGTGTGGCTTGATACAAGACTTACATGGAGGGTTCATATACTGAATGTAGTGAACAAATGTAAAAGAGTAATGAATTGAATGAGATGTCTTGCTGGAACAGAATGGGGAGCAGATGTAGCTTCTTTGAAGCAAATTTATGTGTATTTAATTAGAGCCAGAATTGAGTATGGGTGTTTGGTTTATGGATCTGCAGCCAAATCAGTTTTAACTGAATTAGATATAGTTCAAGCTAAGGCACTGAGAATATGTACAGGAGCAGTGCGATCTTCTCCAGTTTGTTCCTTGCAGGTAGAAACAGGAGAAATGCCACTTTGGGTTAGAAGAAAACAGCTTCAGGCTAACTACTGGGTCAACTTGATGGGTCAAAGGTGTGATCATCCAGTTAAAATTGCAATCCAGGCAAGCTGGGAGAGAGAGGTAGTAAGACTTCCAAGTTTTGGATGGACTGGGGAAGCATTGGCACAGGAAATGTCTATACGTGACCAGAACTTTTGTCCAGGAGTGCTGTGGCCAATAGTTCCTATATGGCAGTTGGAGGTCCCAGAGGTAGATCTAGAGATTCTTGAGACTAAGTTAGAAAATCCTGAGTCAAATTTGGTACATGAATTCCAGTGTCATGTAGGAGAAAGGTATCAGGAGCATATATTAATTTTCACTGATGGGTCAAAAGACCAAGAGACAGGTGCTACAGGTGCAGCTTTTGTTGTTCAGAGATGGAATGCCCAAGTTTTTAAGAGAACTTCAAATTATTTGAGTGTGTTTGCAGTAGAATTGTATGCAATCCTGATGGCAGTGCAATGGACTGAGCAGATACAGAACCATAACGTTTTGATATGCAGTGACTCTGTGTCAGCTATCAATAGTATTGGGAAGGGATTGTCAAAAAGTAGGCAAGATCTTATTTATGATATTCTTCTGGCAATTAGAGATGTAAAAAGGAGAGGGGTGGAAATATCATTTGTATGGGTCCCAGCACATGTGGGTATTGCAGCAAATGAGAAGGTTGATAAATTGGCTAAGGAAGCTGCAAAAAAGGAAATTATAGATGTTGATATAAATTTGTCCAAGGGGGAAGGTAAAAGTATTGTGTGGCAGAAAACTATTTTAAAATGGCAACAATTTTGGGAACAAGAAAATAAAGGGAGGCACCTATTCTCATTAAATAGTAGAGTAACTGAGTCAATTAATGTTTGTAAAAGTGAAGGATTTACACGTAAGGAACACGTTATTATTTCTAGAATGAGGATTGGTCATACATGTCTGAATAACACTTTATTTGTTTTAGGGAAACATCAGAATGGCTTGTGTTCATGTCAGGAACCTGAGACGGTGCAGCATGTTTTGATTTCTTGTAGAAAATATGACCGCCAAAGACAAGATCTGATAAGAGATTTGAGAGAAATTGGTTTGGAAGAAGTTTCTTTGAAGAGTATTTTAGAAGTAGGATCAAGTTGGAGAGGGAAAAGATATCTGTTCACATTTTTAAAGGATACTGGACTGTTCAGCAGAATATAGTGCACTAAGGTGCTAGTACCATAGATGGCAGCAATGCAACTTCTTGGATGCCGGCTGCCGTAAAACTCCAAAGAAGAAGAAGAAGAAGAAGAAGAAGAAGAAGAAGATTGTAGCCTAGAACTCTAGACACCCCCTAGCGGCAGCACATTTATTTGGCAGCTAGGTAGGTCTAGCACGGCTCCGTCCGCTTTTTGGTGCTGAAACACCAAGTATGTCAGACCAATCACAGCGTGAGGGGCGGAGTCGGAAGCCGGGTTACCATGACGACAGAGTTGTGACGGTTCCGTGTTAGAGGTAAACAATGGCTGCTGCTGCTGGCGAACGGCTGTCTTTCCACTCGGCTTTGGCCGCGACTCTTCAAGACTTGAAGTTAACATTTTATTTGAGAAAAGAACAAAGAACGGCACTGAAGTCTTTCCTCGAAAAGAAATATGTATTCGGAGTTTTGATTAATTACGTACGTGACCACGTCACCTTCTTCGTTGCTCTGATTGGTTGTAGCGCTATCCTATTGCGTGCAGAGGGAACTTGAAAGACAACCGTTTATCCCGCCCACACTGCCAATGGAGCTGAGCCAGACCCGACATCTTTCTGATGTCTGGCTTGCCAGGCTAAACTGATTGCTCTTCAGGTGTGAATGAAAACATTTAGACCTGAAGTCCAAGTCCAGTCTGAAGTCTTTAGTAGTATCTGCTTTTGAGACTCAGACTCGAGTCCAGTCTCAAAACCACGTCCCCAGCTCTGCTAAAGCCAAGTCTTACTTGCAATTTCTAAGTAATTTCTAGCAATTTCATAGACTATTTTCCCCTAACCCCCTCATAATTTATGATACTGGTTTGTAGAATTATGTAGGGCTATTTGACATTTGTGCATTTGTTTTGCCATTATGGTAAAACAAATGTATTGTGATACATGATTATTAACACTAAACATTTGTATTAGTTGTCATTGGTTATTGCTGAAATACAGAATATATGTTATAGTAGTAGGCCTACACATAAAAAAAGAGAAAAAAATAAATTTTATTTCCTTTAATATATAAATGCAAACAAATATAATCTCTAAATAAACATACAAGATGCAGGCTTTATCCTTACCCTATCCTTACCCTATATCCTTACCCTATCCTAACCCTATCCTTACGCTATCCTAACCCTATCCTTACCCTATCCTTACCCTATCCTAACCCTATCCTTACCCTAACCTAACCCTATCCTTACCCTATCCTAACCCTATCCTAACCCTATCCTTACCCTATCCTTACCCTATCCTAACCCTATCCTTCTTACCCTATCCTAACCATATCCTTACCCTATCCTTACCCTATCCTTACCCTATCCTTACCCTATCCTAACCCTATCCTTACCCTATCCTTACCCTATCCTTACCCTATCCTAACCCTATCCTTCTTACCCTATCCTAACCATATCCTTACCCTATCCTTACCCTATCCTAACCCTATCCTTACCCTATCCTTACGCTATCCTAACCCTATCCTTACCCTATCCTAACCCTATCCTTACGCTATCCTAACCCTATCCTTACCCTATCCTAACCCTATCCTTACCCTATCCTAACCCTATCCTATCCTAACCATATCCTTACCCTATCCTTACCCTATCCTAACCATATCCTTACCCTATCCTAACCCTATCCTTACCCTATCCTAACCCTATCCTAACCCTATCCTAACCATATCCTTACCCTATCCTTACCCTATCCTAACCATATCCTTACCCTATCCTAACCCTATCCTAACCATATCCTTACCCTATCCTTACCCTATCCTTACCCTATCCTAACCATATCCTTACCCTATCCTTACCCTATCCTAACCCTATCCTTACCCTATCCTTACCCTATCCTAACCATATCCTTACCCTATCCTTACCATATCCTTACCCTATCCTTACCCTATCCTAACCATATCCTTACCCTATCCTTACCCTATCCTTACCATATCCTTACCCTATCCTAACCCTATCCTAACCATATCCTTACCCTATCCTTACCCTATCCTAACCATATCCTTACCCTATCCTTACCCTATCCTTACCCTATCCTAACCATATCCTTACCCTATCCTTACCCTATCCTAACCATATCCTTACCCTATCCTTACCCTATCCTTACCCTATCCTTACCCTATCCTTACCCTATCCTAACCCTATCCTAACCCTATCCTTACCCTATCCTAACCCTATCCTAACCCTATCCTTACCCTATCCTTACCCTATCCTAACCCTATCCTAACCCTGTCCTTACCCTAACCCAAAACCTAATAGCACCCCAGTGGCCTAAGGCCTAAGGTTCTGGCCTCCTAAGCCAGGAGCTGTGGGTTTGAGTCCTGTCTGGGGTGTTACAAAGCGCAGTGGGAGTGCGCTGGGCCCGTAACCCAGAGGTTGATGGATTAAAACCAGTTGCTCCTATAGCATATCTATAAAAGCCTTAACCTATTCTTTCAGTTCTAATGTTTAATCATAACTTCTCATATCACAAACGTTCTCAATGACTAATGCCTGGTGGTCTTTCTCTACTGCTCCAGTTGGGGATGCTATTGGAGTCTCTTCTGTCGGCGGAGAGCAGCACATTTTCTCCTCACAGGCCTTTCCACAGGCCAGCCCACAGGCCCTGGCCGGCGCCGCGTTGGGGCTGCCGCAGCACCCGCCGGCCGCCGCTCGGCCTGGGCTGGACGTCCCGGCTGGAGGCGGGACCAGGGGGAACTCTGGCTGGATGGTGCAGCAGCTGATCCCCACGCTGTGAATGACCTTGGTGACCGCCGATATCAAGTCACCACACCTGGAAGTACATGTAGTTTATATATATACCTGGAAGTACATTATATACAGCCGTTATCATGTTATGTAGTTTATATGTACCTGGAAGTACATTATATACAGCCGTTATCATATGTTATGTAGTTTATATGTACCTGGAAGTACATTATATACAGCCGTTATCATATGTTATGTAGTTTATACGTACCTGGAAGTACATTATATACAGCCTTTATCATATGTTATGTAGTTTATACGTACCTGGAAGTACATTATATACAGCCGTTATCATATGTTATGTAGTTTATACGTACCTGGAAGTACATTATATACAGCCGTTATCATGTTATAATAATTTATATGTTTATACCTGGAAGGGTATTTAACATATATAACATTATATGTTATATATGTACTATTCGCATACTGAGTATAGTACACGTAGACAGGCTACTTCACCTGTGCTTCTGGAAGCCATCTTGACAGTGTATGTGCACCGAGGCCACGGTGCAGGTATCTGACAACTGCCAAATATGGAAATCGTGCAAAGACTGAACTCCAGGTACGCTGGAGATCTTTACTTTGAGTTCTGATACGGACACGTTGGTGGGAGGGGCTTGGAGCAGCAACAGTCCGTACCGGTAGACCTGGGGGTCGGACGGCCGGCGTTTTGTTATGTTTCATGACATTTATGAGGAAAAATTGAATGAATCGCTAGTGTGCACATCGTCTCACCTGGGGTACAGCTTTGATCAACAACACTATGGTAGCCAGCATAGCAAAAGTGAAATCCAGATGGACAAGGCTGGTGCAGCTCGATGACACGGGCACACAGTCTTGGGGAACGGCCAGCAGAAGCACTAGTCCGTTGACCACCGCCAGAACGGCGGAGAAAAGGGCCTGAAAAGCGGCCTTCGCCAGAGGGGGACAGCACCGCCACCGGCACTTGGCGGTGACGTGGTCAGCGTGGTCATCCGACGTGTGACTTGGAATGTGGTCATCGTAGACTGCAAAGATAACATCACCAAACACATGGCAATCATGACTCACCTCGGTCAAACATTGATTTTCTAAATTGACTTTTATTATACCAACAACAGATGTCTAAGCCTGTCACACAGGGTGAACAGGATGATGATGATTATGATTTAATCCCGTACTGGATGGTCGCTCTATGACAATCTCCCCCAGAGGTGCTCTGTCTACCGGTGCGCTGGGGTTCCCGCCGGCACCCTGCTGGGGCCCCCTGCTCTCAGGGTCCAGGGCACCCAGGGCCCCCGGGTTAGAGAGGACCAGCGGTTCGGACCAGGCCGCCGCAGCAGCTGTGGCTCGGCCGGCCTTCGCAGCGACACGCCCTGGCTCCCCGGGATCTCCGCTGTTTCCTTTCGTCTTCGCTGTACACAGAGAGAAAAGCAGCAGAGGAGTTAAAAAAAAACAAACACGAAGAAAGGTATTTGACAGAACTCACAGCTGCATCAACAACACACACCGCTTTCCCACTGAGAATAGCACAATCGTATCACGGTTGCCGAGTCACGACGTATGATGAAAAAAAGAAGGTGTTTCGTTTGAAGGGTGTGATCTGATGTACGTTGAAGTCGTTGAAGTCGAGTTACCGGTGGCCTCGGCGCGGGGTCCGCCCTCCAGCAGCTGACCCCAGGTCAGGCCGAGTACCAGCGCGTTGTGAAGGACGCTGAACGCTCCCACCGCCGCGGACACGAGGGGAAACCGCTTCTCGGTGGGCTCTGCCACCTGCGGGAGGACCTCCAGGCAGTAGGTACCGCAGAGAGTGGCCAAGCAGAGAGCGGAGCAGAACACCTCCACGCTCTTGCTCCTCATCTTTGGATAGGAAAGGCCGCAGTGAGTGAGAGTCGGAGCGGAGCAGCTCCCGACGGCGACGGCGGCGTAACATCGATTTGAATCGACCGCCGACGAGCCGGTGTTCGAGCTGTGGGCCGAACCAGGGGTCTGAGGCGGTTTGATAGACGGAGCGGAGGAAGGAGGTGGCGTGGGCGCCGCCTCCGTGGCGCCGCCGCCGCTGCTGCGCGTTCTGTGCTGAGTGCGAAGGGAAACGGCCATCTGTAAGAAGATGTAGAGCGTGTGGAAGCCGTCCAGCATGCTGATGAGGGACTTGCAGATGTGGCTGGTGACGAGCTGGGCCAGCAGCAGCACCAGGGTCTGCAACATGTACCACCGCAACACTTGCATTCCTGCTGCTTGCTGACTCAGAGAGACAGAGACAGAGAGAGAGACAGAGACAGAGAGAGACAGAGAGAGAGACAGAGACAGAGAGACAGAGACAGACAGAGAGAGAGACAGAGAGACAGGGACAGAGACAGAGACAGAGAGAGACTCAAAAATCTGGTCACAAATGACAAAACACACACGAGAGAGTGTAAATAAATAGAGAGAAAGAGAAAGAGAAATAAATAGAACGAGAAAGAGAAAGAGAAACAATCTATTTTAAACATATATTATTTTTGGAAAACCACTACTACTACGACCATGACTTTGACTACTTCTACTTCTACCACTACTACTCCTACTACTACTACTACTACTACCACTACTACTACTACTACTACTACTACTACCACTACTACTACTACTACTACTACTACTACTACTACTACTACTACTAATCCTACTACGACTACTACTACTACTACTACTACCACTACTACTACTACTACTACTACTAATCCTACTACTACTACTACTAATAATAATAATAATAATACATGTTTTTAGATTTAAGATTGCCAGGTTGTGCCAACAACACACAAAACGTGTGTGACCACAAAGTTGAGTAAAGTAAAAAACTAGTGACAAAATGCTGGTCTAAAAGTCTAAAAGTTTATCAACTTTTGTCTATGCCTATTAGATTGAAAAGACATAAATTGATCTTACCTCAGTCAAAGGTATTCGGTTTCATGAAACATCACTGCATCAATGTCAATTCATATGTTAGGAACGGCTGCATCTCTCCCGCTCAGTCTCCTTCTCCCCCTCTCTCTCTCTTTCTCTCTCTCTCCCACCAAAGCCCCCTGGCTCATCTAATCATGGTCATGTGAGGGAATAGTGTGAATCGTCCTCACTAACTTGCGCTGCAGTTCTTAAACCTACTGAGCTGTACAAGAAGTAGATTTAGAAGGTATACCACCAAAACCTGACCACAAATAATGCATATGCCTTCAATATGCTTTATTATTACCACTCGTATTTGCACTATGCATATGCCACTATCTCCAAGCATCACAAAAACATTTGGTAGTTTCATAGATCTAATTTCTCATGAATCTTTCACCTTTAGGTGATAAACTCTTGTTTCTTGTCAATCTTATCCAATCCTTACCTCAGATTGCTGCAGTAGTTGTCTCCATTCACAAGGTAAGAATGGCGAGTAATCCGATGAACTGCAAACCGACAGGAGTTGACACTATGGAATTAGTTATATCAACATGCTTGCAAATTCCTGAGGCAAGGCATGTTCCCAAGAAGGCATAGGACACACATACACACACACACACACACACACACACACACACACACATACACACACACATACACACACACTTGATTAAAAGGAAGATACATATTTTTGTCCAGTTATAATAATCAGGATGTTTTCCTGATGATTTACCAGACCTTGGGTAAATGAGGTGAATGCTTGTAAATAATCTTTTTTAAATGGAATTGGCCTAAACTGCTGCTTGCAGATTTTGCTTGCAGAGTAATAAAAAGCTAAAATAGCTGAAAAGTAATTGTATTATCTAAACGTGTCTTCTTCAGTGTATAATTCCAAAAGGGGATGCAAAGAGATGATACATTGTAAACATATTAGTGCAAACTGCTTCACAAGAGGTCAAAGGCAACAAATGCTGTTTGCAAATTGCTGTTTGATGTTTAATATCATTGAAATGAAAAACAAAATATTGCACTTAACTCTAACTCGACTTGGGGATGTATCCGTATTAATCTGATTCCATCCCATTGTCCTACTAGTGGTATAGCAGCATGGGGTCCTTAGCACAGAACAAACCATTAATATGACCCCTAATGTAGTGTGCTGTCAGGCTGGGATGTGATGTTCACATAGTTACACTCTGGATGTAGGATGTATCTTAAACCATACAAAACAGAACACCAATCAGTATTAGTAGGTTTAAAATCCTTTTTTTTTATTGTAACCAGGTAGTCACCAGAAAGGCCATTATTAAATAGAACCATCTTCAGTGGACAGGCTATGGGACAAATGTACTTACAAGAGTTAACACACAAACACAGACACACAACACCTTCCAAGGAGAGTAAATGCAGTAAAGGATGCTGACTTTGTAACCGATTTGAACAATTAAATAGTGTATTAACAGTGCTCAATGGAAACTTAAATATTGGATTAATATTATGGTAATCAAGTGTTACTATCAGCAAGCATCTGAGATGTGGTAGTGCAACATGATAACCTAGCAATAGCTACGCAGGAATCTGGGTCACATGTTTTTTCTAATGATTTTGAAAAGAACGCAGTATTTTGAATAAATATGTACACATTTTTTTCCCCCATCCAATTGAGATTGTC